TTTTTCTTTTGGTTCCACTGGATCCTTCAAGTTTTTGACACTTTTTATGCTTTGCTCACACTCCCTCATAGATTACAAAATCTGGCCTGCCCAATCCAAGTCCTTATCCTTTAATCTTTCACTCCCACTCTTAGGTTGCAGGAAAGTCTTTTTTTATTAAAATGTATTCTGTTGCACCGTTCCATCTTGCTAAGCATTTCTATTTCTCCCATTGGAAAAAAAAAAGAAGTCACACTAGAACTCAACTTCTTTTCCCTCTGACTCTCACCTTAAGTTACTTCTTCAGCTCTCTCTTACTAAGTCCTATTCTAGAAAAAAAAAAAAAATGGGTGTGAGATCCTAAATTACCTTGGCCTCCTGTTGCTTGCCCTCCCTTCTCATTCATAAGCCAGAAGCTTCTCTCACCTGTTTTTCTCCACAGATTTTGTTTGTCATGGGAAAGATTACATTTTCCAATTCTGCCCCCCCCCTTTTTTTTGGCATAGAAGCATAAGATTTACTTTTTTCCATCTTCAACAAGTATTTTGTGAACACCAGACCAAACAGCTTCAAGTGACTAAATTCTGTGATTGGCTTGATTGATAGTAAGGGCTGCATATATTTACTTGCTAGGAGTCAGACAAACCAAATAGATGCAAGAAAACAAACAACAAAAGCTTTAAAAATTCACTTTCTGATATATGTCAAATAAGGCACAGGCCTTAAAAAAAATCTGCATACAGCTCTAGTATTCACTGACATATATGACAGAAGACACCTAGGTGGATTGTCAGGGTTTCAGCATAGCGCAAACTTGCCCTCCACAGCAACACACTTTCTGAAGTTCTTCTCTTTCTACTTCCCCTGTTTCCCCCACCCCCACACACACTTAGGAATTAGAAGCTTAAAAGACAACAAATTCTATTTGGAGCTAGACAAATTCCATTATTAGRATGATACTGGCAGGCGTGCACGCGCACACACACACACACACGCAGGTTATGTCAGCAGATGACCCTTTTCCTACTCGATCCCTTGTAACTCTTCTCTTTCACGTTTAATCTCACAGAACACACTGTTCACAAACCAGAGTCTGGATATATTGTCTTCCACTCCCTATGAACTATTTTGTTCACTGCTGTTCTAAACACTTCTGTGAACTTTTCTGTTCTTAATCTCTACAATTTTAGTTTGAGTATTTGAATTCTTCCTAGTCAACGCTGAAAATTAGTACTTTGACACAGCTAATCACTCTGCCATTGAGGCCTTCTCTTCCATCAGCTTTTCCACTCCTTTCCTCTGTCATTCCTATAATAAAACATCCTCAGCCTCTTACCAGAGTTCAAACAAGTTTTGGATAACTAAAAATCAAGTTAAACTAAGCTTAGCTAAAGGAATTCATAACCATGCTCAGGTTCCCTTATAATATTTTTCTCATGTTCTGTGAATATATTGTAAAAATACATAGTAAGAGGCAGCTTTTGCACTACAAAGCTGACAGTCTCTAATGCTGAAATATGATTTTTTCATGAACAGGAAGCAGGAACAGATAGATAAAGTCTAAACAAATGAAGAACTGCATTAATTTTAAGTTGTATATATGTGTTAGACTACTTGAGGTCTGATCTTTCTAAAGTAACCTACAAAAGGTGCAAGATAGATAGGAAATGAAATTGGGAAGATTTGATGTTAATTTAACAGCCTGATCACAAGAATCCTTCCTTTAATTAGCAGGAATGCAACATGAACATGTTGTCCATGAAATATGCCAGCACTCCTACTCATTCAAACAGCAAGCCAGGTAGTTAGGAAAAAGAAAAGGCAGCTCTGTTTGCAGACTATTTTGGACACACACCTCACAAAAGCCAAAAAGGCCTATTCTTTCTGCAAGGAAGAACATACTTTTGACTCAACTAAGTTCCTACACAGGTTCTCTCTGATACCTGTTCACCATCATGTTAAAGGGTGACCAAACTTTCTCCCTAGGCGCAAGATGCATACTGCAGTAAGGATGCAAAAAGCCTGCTAAAATCATACAAATATGAAAAAATGTTGAGAGCTGAGTTCATAAAATAAATAGCAACTGCATAATTTTGTGGTTTAAGTTTATCCATATCATTCTGATCTATATGCATTTGTATTTATGTATTTTCACAATGGTGTTTAGATATACATATATAAAAATGTAAACATATAATAGACCTGTCCCTCCCAAACACACACCGTGAGAAGTTGTAGGCTGATGACTCAAGCAAGTGCAGATTTCATACAGCAGGTAAGAACAAAGGCAATTAAATTTAGCAGCTTTTCAGCATTGCAGTTGCTGCATCTGTCCAACTACAGAAACCCCTGGTTCAAACATTTAGCATATAGATTGTTCAAATCAGAAAGCATTTACAGGAACCTGCTCATAGGGCCCTGTCCAAGAAAACAACAACAGCTCCATGCGATTCCAGTATGACCACTACAGGTTGCACAGACATAGCACTGCTCCCCCCCACTCTCCATGCATATCTTATTATTACTGGCTTAAGCCAGTATCTTATCTGTAGCCAGTATCATTATATCTTATAATTACTGACTTAAGCTAATTAGTGAAAAAATAGTCAACCCAATATAATTATTTTCTCGTAGTATTTAACTAGACAGAGTGGGGCATATTTTCAAATCATATAGTAACTGAAAATTTATAGTAAAGTTCCCTATTTTGCCTTGAGAATAACTCAAAATTGTCTGTTTTTACTTGCTCCTGCTTGTAGGGGTTCAATCCACTTTAATAATCGCACGAAATACACAAAGTATGATGACTATAGTAACTTAGCTGTCATTTACCAACGTGTTCTTGCCCTAGCAGAATTACACTCCATTCCTTGTATTCCACTAATCTTTCTAGTGATGCTCATTAAGCTAACTACATCTAAACATTAATATTGACTAAATCATTACAATATGGTATAGAGATGTGCAAAATGTGATCTTTTTAAAAAATATGCCATAAGAAGATGTCTGAAGAGCACTAAGTGTATGCATTCTTTCTTTTTAGAAGACACAACATAAGGAGCCTTTAAAGTTTATTCAAATAAAGTTGCACACTTCTCACACACAAACAATTGACATTTTATCAACTATGCAATGTTTGATGTCTCTCCAAGACAGAGGGGAAATCAGAGAATTTAAACTGTGTTATCCTTGCAAAATCACYCACAACCTATTGTATAGAACATACATCTGTGAGGCTCATTTAAACTGTGCGTAATAAAGGATAAATATTTACTGTGAAACATAACAAGCTGTTACAAAAATATAGTAGAGAACTTAAGATCTCTTTCTTGTGTCGATTTACTTCTAGCGATAAGAAAAACACTCAATTCTGGGTGACTACCAAACAGTTACATTTTAGTACGAACACAAATGATTTAAGTACTCTGTAAGATCCATACATTTATTATGGCTGACATTTATGATATTTCTTAAAGAATAGTCAATGCCTTAACTTGAAATATACACATGATTTTAGAAAGTGAGTGGAATACAAAAGGAAACATTAAGTAACTTGCTTGCATAAGAACAAGTATCCGGTATCATTTAAAAAGTTAACGAAGGCAGTTATCCCATTTGTCATTTTTTTTTTTTAAATATTGCTAATGATTGAGASAAAAAAAAAAAAAAACAGAGCATTTACTATCCAGAAGGGAGCAGAGTAGAGAAGGCAAATTATACAATATTCTCAACATACCATAATTGGTATTGAAAGATTTTAATGTTTTAAATATTTTTAGTATATATTTAATAATTTTAAAATGTATTCAATAGGTGATTTCAGCATGCTTGCACTTTTAGGTAAAATACACACACACACACACACTAGTGGAAAAACATAAAAATGCTGAGGAAGAAACTGCTCAAAAACTACTCCACCTTTTTAGTTTGACCTCGTATTTCCTCAGAGCTATTTCATGGCCATCACAAGAGCCATGCTATGGGGCTTATGCTTAAGCAGAACTAGAGAATTTAACTTAGAATCCATGAATTTCAACCACAATAGAAGTAGAGGAGAATCGCTTCCCAGAAACGGTTCATTAAAAACGGTCTCCTTTCTCTCCCTGCTAAAACGGGCTCCTTGAACACACCCATCAGCCTCAGGCCAACCCCATCTGCAACACAACCTTATGTTCCCGGAGTTCACGTGGGACTTCCCAAAYATAAACAAGCTCAGCCCCACGCGGGGGTTGCCCTACACAAAACACGGCTCATTGAAAACTTTTCCGCGAGGCAGAAACCAACAGAGTCCCATTCAAGAAAACTGACCGTTTCGGGCATCCTTCCAGACTCTACTGAAGAGCTCCCTCTCTTCAGTAAAAAAGTTTCTTAAACCAAACCAACCGAAACTTAACGTCAACTTATTTGAAGTAAGGAAGAGTATGTGGGAAGGAGAGAATTGGGAGAGAATCTGTACGACAGAAGGATAGTCACCACTCAACGCCGATAAGACGTAAATAATACCCCTCAAAACCTGATTTTTAACAGTTGGCAATCACTTTGTCGACAGAAAGCGGGAAGAAACTGAAGGGACATGCAGCTGGAGAGCTGGGGTTTCCTTCTCTCGTAAAGTCTACCAGAAGCGGAGGAGGTGGGCTTTGGAAAAGAATCAACCGAAATAATAAGGTAGCCGATAGCCGTAGGCAGGTTTTTTGTTGTTGTTGCTTGAAGTTTTTTTAAGGAGTTAAGACAACTTTTAACTACTAAAGATGGTGCGGATAGGGGGGCCAGCAGCCTGTCCTGCTGCAAGCGTCTTACTGCGATTTAGCTCTTTAAGGCAGACGCGAAGGGCATCACTGGTTCTGCAGAATCAGGCTGAGGAAGTAGCGCACGCTGCGGAACCACCATATTCCTCTACTCCTTCAGCAGGAGCTGGACGGTTACCCGACACCCAGCACACACATACACAGAAGTTCGGAAAAACAAGTGGCGCTCATCGTCCCTCAGAAAAAGTTCCTCCCTCCAGCTTTAGAGCGACCTACCTGCTCTCTGGAAATGCAGGGCAGCGAAGGTCTCCGGTACATCTTGCAGCTGCCAGGGTAGCCGACCGGGCTCTCCCCCAGGGAGACGCAGCTGGATCTCCTCCGGGCCCGCAGCGCAGGCCCCTTCTCCTCCGCGCTGGGCAGCCGCGGGCGGTGAGGCTGCTGGGGCGCTGCCCGGCCGCGAGGCGCGAAGCCGCCGCGCTCGCCGCCGCACAGGGCGAGCGCGCAGCCGGCTGCGCCGACCGAGGCGGCCAGCAGCGGCCTGAGCGCCGGCGGCAGCGGGCCGAGGCTGGCGAAGGACACGAGCCACACGAGGCTGGAGAAGAACAGCAGCAGGAGGCTCCGGCGCAGCGTGAGGGAGCGGCGCAGCAGGCTGAGCGCCGTCACGGAGCCCAGCACGGTGAGGAGCCGGCCCGCGGCCGCCTGCAGCTCGCCGCCGGCCTGGGGCTCCTCGTCGCGCCCCTCCGCGGGCAGCAGCCACTGCAGCGCCACGAGGTCCCCCGAGAAGCAGCAGGCGGGCAGCGCCAGCAGCCACCAGCGCGCCGCGCCGCCGCGCTCGTCCCGGGCCAGGTGGCCGGTGAGGAAGAAGAAGGCGCAGGCGATGCTGAAGAGCGGGCTGAGGCAGCGCGACACGCAGAGCAGGGCGCGCAGCGGCCGCGGGCTCCGCCAACCGCTGCCGTCCTGCTGCCCGCCGGCGCTGCCCCTGCCGTGCAGGGCCAGCAGCAGCGAGAGGGCGAGCGCGGCCAGGGCGCCCAGGCTGAGCAGCGCCCGCCACGAGCAGGGGCAGGCGGCGGCGGGCAGCAGCAGCAGCGAGAGGAAGCGCTTCGGGGGGTCCCGCCGCGGCGGCGGCGCGCAGCCCTTCACGTAGCCGTTCCGCAGGCTCTCGGCGGCGGCCGCGGGGGCGCCCGGCGGCTGGCAGTGCTGCGGGGCCGTGCCGGCTCCGCGGGGGCACGCGGCCGCGGCGTCTCCCTCTTCTCTCATGGTGGTCGCGCAGGGGCGAAGCGAGGAGAGGAGCGGGCGGCGCTAGCTCCCGCCTCGCCGCGCCTCCCGCATGGCCTCAGGAGCGAGGCACCGCGCGGAGCCGCGGCTTCTTCCCCGCGGGCGGCACCGTCCAGGCCATGGTGCGCAAAGTCGGCGAAAAGAGGAAAAGGTAAAAGTCTCTCTCCTCCTCCTCTCCCCCTCCGCCAACGGCTCCGGCGAGGGAGACTCGCTGCCGCCTCCCAGCGCTCAGCGGCAGCAGCCGCCGCGAGCCCCGGCGGGGGCGGGAGCGCGCCCGAGCGCAGCCCCTAAAAGCCCGTCCCTCAGCCGCGCCGCCCGCAGCTGCGCATGGCGCGCGACGGTTGCGCCCTAACGGCCGCCCGCTAACGGTCGCGCCCCGCGCGCCTGCGCCGGCCTCGCGCGGGACTCCCCAACGGCCGCCAGGAGGGGGGCGGGGGGGGCTGGCGGCTCCTTCCCGCGCGCCACGCCGCGCCCCGCCTCCCGCCCCGCCCCCGAGGCGGCCGGTAGGGAGGGCGCCCCCGCGGCCACGCCCGTTTAACGGCCCGCGGGGGCGTGCGGCGCGCGAGGAGCCGCTGCCGCCGTGAAGGGGCTGACCTGCGTGTGTGTTTTTATACGTGGTTGTAGCTCCCGTCACGGGCCCGGCCCCCTGTGCGGCCACCCCTCTGCAGCGCGTCCCGGCCTTTCTCTTCTAAATTCTTCTCAGTTTTTGTTCTCCGTTTTGCTATTCCACGGAAAAGTTGCTAATATGCKCCTGAAAGAGCATATAGAGTGGCTGGGTATTTTCACTTTAAGGACCATCTCTTTTTGTTTGTTTTTAGCACGTGGAAAGTAAGCATGAGTTAGAGCAGCGTTCTACCCTTTTTTGGTCTTTGTTGGCTGTGTTTACGGATTAGACCACACTGCTACACCACGCTTGGGTTTTTGCGCAGCTAATCCTTCTGGAATGGATCAAAATAATCATTTTGTGCTAGGCTATTCCAAGTGTTCAGAATGCAGTCAGTGAAAACAGGCAGCTAAAGGAMTCCTGAAAAGATGTCTATGCTCACGCATCTTTTTTTTTCCCCCTGTTAATAACTACATTCACTTTCTAAGTTCTGGTTATACCTCTGGGTGGACATGTCCTTGTCTAAATAAATGCTCACAACATTTAAGTGAAAATCTTAACAATGCACTTTTTTTTTTTTTTTTTTTTTAGAAATCAGTTTAGGTCACTGGTTGTACTTTTTGTTTGGGGGATGAAAATAAGGAATTCTTCAGATGACTTAGCAGTGTCATCTGCCACATGTGATTTGCTCCACTTAAATAGCAGCTAAGTAGCATTTTGAGGAAATTGGAGTGTGACAGGAAGCAGTGCTGCAACATATGGGCCCAAAGTTGACAATATGCAGAACCCATGGAGCATCATTACTTATGAACAAAATACAGTATGGAGACTGCACATAGGAGGCTGGAAATAAGTAATAATTTGTTTCTTCAAAGGCAAATCCAATTGATGGAGCTGTGATGTACCTTCCTCTGCTAGAAATGTGTCTGCTTGCAGCAGTGGACATTAGACACTGACTGAGGAAGATTATAAGGATRATGTAGCATTTTTTTCCTTGTCATCTTCCAGTTTCATTAATGCAAGAGAACATATTTGTGTTCCCTATATATGCTGGGAACATAATCTCTGCCTTTTTTTTTAACGTAGCGAAAGACGTGAATATTGTGGCACCTAACTTGGAAGTGAGAGCATCTCTAGGTCCTTTCACGGTATTTCAGCAAGTTATGGGAGAAAACAAAACTTTTCAGCTTCTCCTTTTGTGTGCGTGTGAATTTCTGTGACAAAACTATCTCAAGATATAGTTAATAGCTTTCCTCAGTTCTGAACTTTTGTTCAGAACTTCTGTTGTGTTGAGGGACCGTTGCCATATGTTTTGTAAACTGCATATAAACAGTACTTTTGGATGAATTCCTATTGTACTGTAAATATAATCTGGAAAGTGAAAATGTAGATATATGTCACTGATTAAGACGTTTCATTGTTTTTAAATATTATAGTTCCTTTTAGAAATTAATTAGTAAATTAATATAAACACATGTAAGATTGTTCAGGCAGCAACAGATTATSTGTACCTCCAGCTTTGATACCAGTTTTACATCAGTTGTTTGAACAAATAAATTGCATTATTACAACAACAATCATTTAGTGAAGAAAACAAAAGAAACAGTRTACCTCCAAACAAACACACGTACACACATGCAAGTGTGGTTCATGCAGGGAAAACAGAAAGCTTAACCAAATTTGAATGAATACTTGGAAAAATGCCAGCATTATGTGTTACCATTATACATTTGTACTGAGGCAAATGTTGTGGCTGCTSTGTTTGGTAAACTCTAGAAACACGTGTCCCAGCTTACTGGGCACTTGCAAGTAGAGGCTCAGGCAYGTCTAAATACAAGAATGTGTTTGGTTTGTGCTAATTTACCTTTCCATTTTCTATCTGTGTGTTGCCTAGAGGATATTCATACTGTAATTGGTGCTGTCTGGTGGATAATCTCAAATTTATCTGTAATGTGCGAACCTTTCAGAACAAGAGGATCCTAGAGGATGTTATGTGGCTGATATCACTACTGGGGTATTTATGTCTTGAGCTGTCTTTAGAAAGAAAGTTACAGTAGTTTATAGACAATTGAGTTTACGATACCAAGACGGATTCATAGGTGAAGATCTCCCCTGAGCCAGAAAATGCACATCCACAAGAAGCCTCTCTTTCTTGTGTTTACTATGCACGATGTCACTGCACCTCCAGGAGGGGATGTTGATACATTAGACATGTTTGAAACTGGAAAAAAAGATGGGTCCAATTGCATTCCATAGTAAGTGAATCACATAGTTTCAAAGATAAATAATAAACACCAAGTCATAAAATGATAATCTTTGTTACATAATAGAAAATACTAAGTTATAGGAAATTAACCTTTCTCTCTACTTTCTTGAAAGAGGCACAAAATGGGAAGGAAAGGAATAATAAAAAAAAGTTGAAAAAAAAAGTTGTTAGAGCCTTGTCTCTAGTGGATATAGCACTTGTGAGTTTAAAAAGCATGAGTAAGAGCACTAGAAAACTGGAGATGGTGCAACAGACCATTATTAGACGAGATTTTACACTTTTTGAGTCAGAAAACATCAGAAAACATCAATAGCTCCTGTATTTTTGATTTTATTAAGAGAAGATGCATGCTTATTTCTGGTTCCTACATCCAAAATATTTCTACTATTTGTTTTTGTAAATCTCAGCAATCAGATCCTCATATTGGAATAAAACTCAAACAGTTCTCAAATTGACCAATGCATCCATCCTCAAATAACCATGAAACAATGTAGAGCACTACAGCTGAAATGTACTTTGATCATACACCCATTCCCAGTCAAGAGGTGAATCTGCCAATAAACACTGTAACATTTTATAGGCAGAATCCATTGATGCCCTGACAAYACAGGCCATATATAACCCATATATTCCTTCCAATCACATTAAGTCTAACACTTCACATTACCTTTATGAAATGCTGTGATGAAATTGCATATCTTCTTAAAACAGCATTTCTATACAATATGTAATGCTTGACATTTACTTTTAAAAATATTTTTCAGAGGTTGTTCTGAAAATTTAGAACAAGATTTAAATCAATAGAAGTTGTTGGCTGATTTTTTATCCTCAGCTACCAGCAAATGTGGATACTTGTTTTGTAAAAAAAAAAAAAAAAAAAAAAAAAAACCACAGAGACTTGGATTTCAAAGTTCAACAGTTTTATATTCATAAACATTATGTCTTTAAGTTACTAGAGAACTGCATAATCACGTATTATGCTGTATTTTTGACATTAGCTCACCTGGAGAACACTGGGGTAGCATAATGCTTTGACAGTAAACATGTGGGAATTTCAGCTACTAATTTTTTGCCAAATGTCACTGGTTATTCAATTACAATTTACCTTCTGAGATTATAAATTGTAGAGTAATAAACAAAATAAGTGACTTTCTTGATATGTATCATCTCTCTATAGTTTGTTATGCTGAAGTGTCTTTTATTATAAAATCTAYCATTCAGTGAAATAGCATTAAGTGTAAGAGTATGTAGTCATATTTCTGTGGTAATTCACTCCTTAACTTGTTAATTAAATTTTCTGTCTTGAATTATGGAATCTGCTCATAAATAGTGCTGAAGATTGAATCTAACTAGCAAGCTYAGTCAGTTTTCCAAAGAATTCTGACTTAACATATTAGTATTAGATTCATAAATATTCTCATAAAGATCAGAGACAATCCAAGTCAGTTCATTTACTGGAGGGAAAAGGAAAAAAGTGAGCTGAATTATTAAATCACCTTCTTATTTCCTATGCCTTTCAGATATCCATTTTATTCACCCTAAATTATGAGGACAGGTCCTTATTAATTAACATTAATTTTAATTCAGTTAAGTACTGAAAATTACATTAGTCTGTCAGCAGGCATAAAACAACTTGGTAAAGAAATTGTGCTGAGTTATACCTCTGTTTGGCCTGTTTATCAGTTTTCAGCACAGGCCAGACTATAAACTCTTTTTTTTTTTTTTTAGCCATATTATTTTATTCAGCTATGTGTATAAAACCCTTATAGTCCTTATTCATCAGAACAGTATGTACTATACTTACCATAAGACAGCATTAAGTAAAAGCTTGATTCTGGGGAAAAAAAAGTAAGCATATTATTTTGTTTATGATTAAATAAATATGTAATCTTTGAAGTATCAGGCAGTAGATATCTGAATCACAGTGGATCAATAGTTCCTGTGTGAAAAATCAGTATCTAATGTATTGAATGTTAAAAATACAATCTGCATACTAAACATTCAGAGATTAGCATAAATTTTATCATCTTGAAATTTAAAATATTTGGAAATTAATTTGATGTTAGTATTTAAAATAATGTTAGTCTAGTAGAAAAGTCCAYGTAAAGGAATCTCTGGAAATAATATGTAATTGCAACGTTTTCCTCATTGAGGAGAAATGTAATAGATATGTCACTTGATCAGTAAGTTTACCTGTTCTTTGCTTAAAAGTAGTGCTTACTACCGTTAGCAATTATGTGCAAGTAAGAGGAAAAACAATAGTTGGATATGAAAATGTACTTAAATATTTCCAGGATGTTCATTTTTCACAGGTGATACTCTTTATGACTAAGAGTAAATAGGAGCCTTTAGAAAGTATAGCTAATCACATATAGGCTTACCTAAACAGCAAAAATTAGTCAGTCATAGAAAGCTCTCCCTCCTCCCTTTTTTAAGAATGTGTCTTAATTGGTAATATAAGTAAAAAAGGAGGGTATGTTATGGAGATTTTAGAAATTCTGACTCCGCGAGTTCTTCATGAAAGAATATTATCTGCAACTGACCAGTTTCTATGTGGTTAGTTGTAGCTAAAATGTACCCAGCACACTTGGGTACAAAGTAATGGAGCAGAAGCAATCACTACCTGTTTGATATTTCTCATAATGAAAGAATAATTGACCAGTAAACACAAAAGGAATACATTTAGTAGCGTTCTTATGTTGCTCTGGAAGTTTTGTTTTAACGAACAAGCTACAACTTGAGGAAAGGACCTGGAAAGAGCACTGAATATGGCAGTAGGATTTTTACCAGAGTTAGTCAATGAAAACAGGAAGTTTATAATATAATATATTTGCACTTATGCTCTATTARCATCAGCTAGGTAGCAATGACAGATGCTTAATATACCTAGCTCAAACATTGTATCAGAGAACAACTGATTTAAGAACCTTATTGTATCATGTATTATTATGTATACATGCATATGTATATTATATCATAGTAACTACCACCATAGCACTGACTATCTATTTTTTTTTTTAATTTGCTGAGCATTTGCTTGAGCTGAGAAGAACAAGCAACAGTTGTTCTGACAAGAACAGTCTCCTATATCTGATCCTCTGATTCCTGAGCAAGACCGCAGGACCAGACCAGCTCCATGACTCCTGTAGCAACTGGAGTCACCCGCAGCATCACACTCTCCCTGTTCCAGAGGGGCCTGACACAAGCTGTTGCAGTTGGGGCTTTCTCCTGTTGACAGTGCTGGCAGTCCCAGGAGCTTTATTGGTCTTCCTCTGGTCTTGATTTTATCTTGACAGAGTGTTGGTACTTTCATCAGTACCTTTCCTAAGGATTTGTGATCCATAAAATAAAATAACTCTTTAGCCTCAGTTCAGTTCGATGTTTAGAACGTCCCAGTGTTCTCCTCAAACAATATTCACAGGATCTTTGACCATCTGGTGACCTTTATCAGATTACTGCCTCCGGGTTTGGCCAGAAGTTTGACACACAAACTAATCAGGGTCATGTGTCATCTAGACTGATCCTGCAAGCCCCGCTTGACACAGCAGCCTGTTCATGCACCTCCTCCTTATTCCTTAGGCAATTTTCTTGACTCCTTTGTTTCCATACTAAAACAATTATCTGTTCTGAACAGACATTGTACACTAAAAAGGGATGTGAATTAGAACAGCATACCGGAGGCAAGCCTGAAAATCCAACACATGCTAAAGTGATAGGGAATAGCTTGTTCTTCCATTATTTCTTCAGTCAAGTTTTGCCCCAAGAATTACTGAAACTTTTGGTGGCTGAATCTGATCAAGATTATTATTGGATATCTATTATAAATATCCATCTTGGTAGCAGATGCTTTTCCAGCTACAAGTTATTCTTGGTGACTTGGGAATCTTGGTGCTTTGCTGTCCTCCTGAGCAAAATTATTCTGTGATTCCGTGAAAATAATACATCAGGCATCCAGTCTGACTGGGTTTCTTGAATATGTTGGAAAAGAAATGAGACTATTCCAAGAATAATATCACAAGCAGGAAATTCAGGACAATGTTCTAGAGACTTTTTCAAGAATGTGGTTAACCAAGACTGACTCCCTCCTTAGACACAAATAGGAAATGCTACCCTTTTTACTCCGAGGTCTTTTTATTCTTTTTTTGGACTTTTTTGTTTGTTTGATGGTTTCTGTGTGTGTTGATTTTTCCTCYTCTTCTACTTCTTCTAGACATCTCTGTTCTGTTAAGGGAGACAARTGCATTCATTTCAAACGTGCACATGTTCTCTTCTAAGGTTTAAAAGATAAAACAAGGTGATCACAAGAGGCTTGATAGCTCAAACTGGCTGGTTCCCATAGCACTGATTTCTCAATCTGCACTGCTCTTAGAACCTATTGGGCAAAGCACCCAAGCCAGTGACTTCATATCAAGAACTCTTAATCATGACTAAAAGGCAAATTGCACATCAAGATTTCAGCTTCTCTGTCACGCATTGTTAGTCCTTATATACACTCCTATCACTATATATACTAAAATTGTTATTAACTATCTAAATAATAGACTGTAAAATCTGTTGAAGATATACTGTTGATATGCCTATGTGCAGCAATGCAACTTAAGAAATGGCATTTCCTGTTCTGAGAAACATTCTCTGAAATTCACATTCACTTTACTTTGTAGAAGTGATATGACATTGAATTCCTTCCTGGCTGTAAACCAACAAATTTGGCCAATCTGATATTGATGTTCAAAAGTCTTTCACAGGAGAGTTCAGTCACTCTAGTCAGTGAAGTGCAATTATCATTTTACCATGTTTATTTGTATACTACACCATACTTTTAAAAAAGTACAAAGTATACTTTACAAAAGTGTAATATACCTTGTACTTTATCTGTAAAAATAAAGATGTGCATCTGTTAAGATGCACACTCAATTGCCAATCTGCAAAATAATATTTTCTTGTTTTTATTAATTACTGTAAGATAGTGAAAAAGGCACCTGTAAAGGCAAAGGTACGTTTTTTGTTGTTTTTGTTTCTTCTCTTTTCCTATTTCCTCTCTTCCAATAGGAAATCTTCCAATCTGGTAGTATCTTTTGTCTGAGATACATTGTTCCTGTTCATTTAATGATGTGGTAAACACAAGTTAAAGCACTTCGGTGCCACAGAATCTGTTGTAAATGAGACTAATAACCTACATATGTACTCATAAATTTGATATATACTTAAAATCAAAAACAGCTGTGCAGATGTCTTGGCTATGTAGTGATATGCTCATAATTGCTGCAGATATTTTTTAGGTATTCGCTGGTTAGTTTCAAGGCAAGGTTATTTCAAAGCTGTCTGGAATTAATATAGAGTCCTTCAAGCTTTCACTGAATCCCTCCATGGACTAGTCCTAAAAGCTAAGGTCTGGGCCAAATGCTCTGGATTTAGTAATATCCTTACATCAATAGAATTTGTTTACGATTTAAGCACATATGATGCAGTGTCTGAGCTCAGTGACCTGTCAGAACAACTGCAGACAATGGGCTTTCCACTGCCAGGAGCTGCCTTACGTTTGTCGGGACAGGCTGTGGGTTCTGCTTCCATTGTTGTTACTCTTGGAATACRTACAAGAAAGATGGCAGGAACCAAATGAAACTGTGCTGTGAAAACAGGGATATGCATGACAGCAAAGCTGTTAAAAATCCATGTAGCAAAATTAGGAACTTGGCAAGCGCTAGAAAAAAAAATGGCTGATGACAGCAAGCCTTTTTTTTTGTAGGCTACAGCTTACTCAGACAGATCCTCTTCCCTGCTGATTATTTTGGTATTGGCATCTTCCCTAATAAAAAAATGAATACATGCTAGGAATGGGCTGAGTTGCAGTTTGAAGATGTGGGCCATAAATAACAGAATACGGAATTGTTGCCTAACAATTATCATTATAAGCCTAACACTCCTAAGCACTTGAAAATGCCACCATTTGGAATCTGCTACCGAAATTCTTAGGCTCTTGCTGTGAATGTCAACTCATTCCTGGGCTCCTCTTTTTAAAAAGAACCTCTCAACACAAAGAACCTCTCAACAACAAGAACAAAGAACCTCTCAAATGCCATCAAGAAGTATCCCTCATGTAGGCAAAGTCATATCATACGTATTCCACGTGGAAAACGTGGAAGAGAAAAATTTAAGAGACAAACAGTTCCCACAACTATCTGATGGTCCATCACCATGTGATCTCACCACCCCACTTGGCCCAGCCAGGGCAGTTACACCTATTACGTACCTGAGAAAGTGAGAGTAACTAGGCATTTGCTGTGACAGGAACCTTTTTACGCACCTACCTACCTTGCCCTTCCAGRCACTACGCTGTTGATGACTCTTARTGTTTTCTGATGCTGTTGATGACTCTTAATGTTTTCTTCATCATAGAAAGAATTCTGAAGGAGAAAAGGGCTGAAGAATACTTCCTATTCACTCATTCTGCAAAAACAGAGCAACAGATCAAACACTGAGTTCCTGTAAGATTAGCATCACAAATACTTTTATGTCAAGCTGACACCCGGGAACAAAATAAACAATGTGACAGAAAGGCTGTGCTCAAAAGCTAAGTCTGCCCCACTGAAGTTGCACAAAATACAAGGGAGATTTTGGTTAAAAAAAAAAAAAAAAAAAAAAAAAGGCCTGGAGCTAAAAGTAATAAATTGCTTTAAAACATGCACATTGACATTTTAATAGCCTCACCAGGCTACTCATAATCCAATTTTATTGCTGTGTAAATACAACAATGAAGGTTACGAGATGGCATTTTATAAATTCTGCTAATTAAGGTCCCTTTAGGAGGGGAATCACCAGCAAGCTACTCTCAGCAGGGAAAGAAGGACAGATTTTGAA